CGGGGTGCAACACACATGCAAACTCCTCATGCCCCTCCCCCGGCACCCGTCATCCTCCTCGTCGCCATGGCCGCTCGAACACCACATGCGTGATGCATGTGGCCAACCCTCCTCCCCCTCGTCCTCTCCCTCCTCCGTCTCTCCGCAGTGTGATCCCCCATGTTTTATCTGGGGGAGTGGGGGCCAGAGTATATTGTTTGATTGTGTCTCCCCTCGGCCCCCAGTTTGATGTGAAAGTGCTTTCAGTTTCGCCTGTGCCTCTCGGGCTTGAGCGCGCCCCTCAGGCCGACCCCATCAAGAGGCGCAGGACTCGCAAGCAGAGCGTCGCCCCGAGCGTCTGTTCGGCCGCCCCGAGCACCCTCAGCGTCGACAAGGGCCCCCCCCAAGTCTAGGGCGTTCGAATTCATGGTGAATCGAGATAAGCTGGCGGCACGGGTGAAGGAGGCGATCAAGGCGATCAATGGGCCGAAGTCCCCGCACAAGCAGATGATGGCTAAGGCAACGAAGCTCACACCAGAACAGAAGGCTGAGTTGGAGAGCGATCCCACCGACATCACGAAAACTCACGCCTCAGTCATGGACACCCTCAAGCGCCTCGACGAACACATCAGCAAGCTGAAGCGGCCCGACTACGAGCGCGCGAGGACCGACGTAGTGAAGGTTGAGGCCGAGCTCGGGGATTTAGGAGAGAAGGTCGATTCCCAGATGGAGCGCATGCTGCTCGTCACCAGCAAGGCGCCCAGGGAGACTCGCAAGGAGAACATGAAGAAGCGCTATGCCCGCACCAAGGTCTCAGGGCACCTGGTTGCTGGCAAATACCCGAACACGTTCGCCAAGATCGTGTCGCAGGCCCTGGAGAAGCTCGAGGACGCAGATGGCGAGGCCAGCCTGTCCGAGGATATCCAGAAGCACCCAGATCACATCATCCCTGGTCGCATCTGCCTGTGGACGAGCGTGGACAACTCCACGCGCAAGATGATCGCGGAGATCTCGAGCGACGTTGAGAAGACCGAGAAGTCATTGATGGATGCCATCTCTTCGCTGGACAACAAGTCGTGGGCTGGGTGCATGGGGAGGGTCCAGCTCGGCCATGATGAGATCACCGAGTTCGTTCAGCATGCGGTCGAGGACCCTTCGGAGAAGCACCTGGAGATCATGTCCGAGAAGGGTAGCGTTCCCTGGCTGACTTTCGTTCGACCCTACACATGGCGCGCTGGGCCAAATCAGTGCCCTTTGCCTGGTATGGCCGCGGCGTTCGTTGCGAAGACCGACTCGATTGTGGTCCAGATCGTGGACGCCAGTGATGTGGTCAAGAACGGGGTGGCCTTCACGAACCTCAAGAAGTTCATGGACACGGCGGAGGGTGGCAAGACGTACCAGAAGAAGTCGCATGTCTTCAAGCTGCGGGTTGGGGACGTCCTATTCGTTCCCTTTGGGTTCATCATGATGCCGATCTACTGCCCCCCGACCGCCACGATGGGGAAGGCCAGCAAGTCCGAGGCTATGACAATGGTTGGAAAAATCTGGAGCATGACGCTGCTCAACGACAAGTGGGTGAACACCACTGTCCACAAAGAGACCTGGGCTGCCATCCTGAAGATCAACATGGACCACCTCCAGAAGTCGCGCACCGCCAACTCGCTCTGGGGCGAGCGCTTTGACTTCCTGAAGAAGTTTGTTGATGCCCTCAGCGTCTGATTGCACTCTCGATGCGGTTTGCCTCGTGCCCATTTTTACGCTGCCCTCTGCCAGCTGCCCCAACATGGTACTCGTGTACCGTTTACCTTCAAGCAGGTTTCCTCCTCCTCCCTCCTCACTCCACCTCCTTCGACGCCTTCCCACTCCTGCCCCCTCCTTCTCAGTGCGATGCCTGGCAGCAGGCGTGGGCAAGGCCGTGGCCGTCGACCGCGGTGCGTGGGCAGACGATGCGTGCAGAGATGGGGGTAAGGAAACAATCTGCTCACGAAAGAGTACGTGCTGCCGGCCTGGAGGTGGGTCCTGGGGGAGGTTCGGGGGGAACAATAGGCCAGACTGGGCGGCGACTGCGTGCGCTTTCGGCCCAGAAGATGAGCGAAAGATCAGAAGGGGAGTTTCAAACAGGATCCGTTGGAGAATCGGACGATGATGGCGATAATGAGGATGACTAGGATGAGGAGGAGCAAGATGAGCAGGAGGTAAAGGCAGATGCGACGAGGAAGGGGCTAGATGGGTGGCGCGGATGATGGATGTAGGATCGGAGGAACGACGAGATCATGCGAGAAAGACCAACTCAGGGGAAGGACGCGCCAATGAGGAGGAGGAGTATTAATATATGAAGGGCACGTTCCATCGCTGCTAACTGGCAGGCTGCTGGACCGACGGGGGGTGAGCCTGGATTGGGGCTCTCTGTCTCTCTGAGCCAGATCCGAGCGGAGCTCGGATCTTGATATGACAATGCTTTGATTTGCGTGCTGCACTGTGCGCCATCGCCGCTCCGCTCCGCCTGACCATGACCAAACTGTGTCAGACCTGCGCCTGCCCGTGGCCGAGGCCTCCCGCCTTCGCATTCGGCGACGCAGGACAGGAGATAGAGACACATAAAGAGAGAGAGAGAGAGAGAGAGAGAGAGAGAGAGAGAGAGAGAGAGAGAGAGAGAGAGAGAGAGAGAGAGAGGGAGAGAGGGCCATACAGAACGTTAAAGAGATAAGGACTTATATGGAAACAAGGAACATGCATATTTATAGAAAACGTGTAGGCGTAGCTAGCGACATTTGCACTTCGCACATGCATTACTGTAGGGTGCAGACCAACGAGGACCCAACAACACAAGCACGGACGATCGGTGAATATGCGCACGGAGGGAACACGCGTACTATAGGCAAACGGACATGCACATAGAACATAAAAATAGGGTACGTGCACAACCACGCACACAACTTACGCACACCTACATACGTGGAACGATACATGCACGCACGCAATACATAACAATTATACCAACCGTTCCCACCATCGGCACCATTGCATTGGGTCCGCGGAATCTGCCGCAACCGTACACACTGCGTGGGGATGATGATCGCACCGTCTACCTCAGCCGTTTGTCTCGACAAGGGTGCACCTTTTCTGCTTTTTCTCCGAACGGCAACCGTTCCGATGGAGGGTGGCGGTGCGATCGAGATGGTCGACCTCTGGTCCGCGAAGGACCCTCCTGCGCCAGAACGGAAGGGTCGGAAGAAAACACGTCGGTGTGAAGATGATGGGGCATCCGCTGTACCACGCCCGAGGTATCAGACAGTTGTGACTGGCAGTGCGCTCTTCGATCAAGTGAGTGTCTTCGATCCGAGCTCAGATGCGATCGTTGAACAGAACTCCAGGGCATTGGCAGAAGCGATTGCTCGGACCCCGAAGCAGAAGAGGCGCACGTTTCAGCCTGGCGAGTGGATTCCAAAATTTAGCGAGCGCAAGAAGCTGCGCAACCCCGTCGCGTCGCTCCCGTCGGGCTCAGACTCGAGCAGAGGGGCGGCACCGTCGCAGAGCCAGTCCAGTGCAGCGCAGTCTCAGTTGCTTCGTTCTAGGCAGTTTAAGGTTCCCAGCCAGGGAATTCGACCTACAGGGCGCTTGCCTGCTGCAAGCGGTGGCGTTGCTTCAGGTGCTGGATCGTCGATCATCACACCACTGCCACCATCGCATCACTGTCGGGGCAAGTGCCAAGCACATGACACCAACCATACCATTATCAACCAGCTAAGCCTTCCAGACAGCCAAGCTAAACTTAAAGCCTGGGGGGGCGTCGCTTAATATTCGCCTTCGGCCCGCACCCCCCCCCGATTTCGTGTCTGCGCCCTTTGGTGAGCCCGAAGTTCCAAACTGTAACCCCTAAATCGATCCCATCTCTACCAGGACCTCTCGTGATCTGCCTACCCACCACTAAGTCTTACTGTAGCCTAACAGCAAGATATATAAGGATAGGACAATAGAGGAGGCAGGAATGGGACACACTCTCTATAAAAATTAAGACAAAAAGGAACACAATAGTCTGACACAAAACATCCCCTCATCTCAACTACCATGAAACATAACAGGTGTGGTGAAATTCGTCACGTGACCCTCCCCAAAATATCCGATCGACATGATTGAGCTGCGAGGGGCGAGGGTGAACGAGGATGTAGTGTGGATGCGGTGCAATGGGGGAATGCGATAGCAACTTGGGGGGAGAGACGAGGAGAAACGGAGGGGGTTCATGGAGGAGGGAGTGGGCGACGCACGGAATATTGTGCAAATCAGGAGGGGCGGTGGAGGGAGGGAAGAGGAGGTGTGAGGGACGACGGTGGGCAAAACGACGTAGGAGCGACGGACGACGATAAGCAGAGGATGCGGATGGGGAGGGTTGCAAGGATGAGGGTGGCGAGGATTTTTGTTGAGCTTGTTAATTGGCAGTCGTCCCGCGCGCCTGCCAAGCCCGTTGCCCGGAACAAGCCCCAAGGAAGGATATAGGCGGGGGGTCACGCTTGTCCGTTCGGTCTGACACAGTTGTATCCAACCCCTAAGGGCGCGAGCTTGCTTAGCAACGTGGGAAAATATATAGCTATATACGACGCGCGTGTGGAGGCACGTGTGAGCGCGTGCCAGGGACTAGGCGATGATATCACTGCGCGCCTTCTGGTTTGTGTTGGTGGACCGACGCTGCTGGCCATTCGACATTGGTACATTGCAGCATGCATGCCTTGACCTTGCACACACTGGTCTGTCATCGTTACGCAGCTATGACAAAATCCGAGGATACGTGATGACATTCCTCTTGGTACCACAGACATTGTATGAACCATTCCACACCACCACGGGCCAGGATGAACCATTCCCAATACCCCAAATAGGCGATAATCCTGGAGTTGCCCCAACCCCCTGCGTAACCAAGGAGGAGGAGGAGGAGGAGGAGGAGGAGGAGGAGGAGAAGGACCTCCCCATCCTCCCTTCTCGCCCGTCTTACCTATGGTGGTGGTGGTGGGAAATCGGCCCATCAGGACGGGGAGAGCGAGAAGAGGTCCCACCAGGACCAGCTGGCCGCCCTGACCGGGGAGCTTCAGAGGGTGCCTATGGGGCTCATCTTCAATCCAACCCGAAGGGCCCGATTTGCCCACCATTTCCAGTGTGGGGGGGGGGTCCGGGTACCTCGGAAAAGCGCATGTGAAGCCCTTCGGGGCTTCGGGCTGGGTTGGGGCTTAGTGAGCCCTGGAAACGACAGGGCCGTTTTTTTTCCCAGTTCCGTTTTGCCGTTTTTTTAACAGATTCCGACGCCGTTTTTGTTCACTGGTTCCGTCGCCGTTGTTTTACCGGTTCCGGGTCCGGTTCCAATCCTGGAGCCGTTTTTTGGCCGTTTCCGGTCGCCGTTTTTTTACCGTTTCCATTTCCAAGGGACATTTTTGGGGAAACGGTGAAAAAACGGCCCTGCCGTTTCCGGGGCCCACAAAGGTCCGGGAACCTCGAAACAGCGCATATGAAGCCCGTACCCCCCCGACCCGAAATTCGGGTCCTCGGGCTGGGTTGGGGTGGCGTGGCAGGTAGCTTGGCATCGCTCGGACGTGTGCGTTTTTTCCTCGGCGAGGACCCTCGAGGAGCATCCCTGATCATTTGGCGGAAAAACCAAGCACGAAACCGACAAAAAACACAGGGAATGGACGTCCGAGCGATGCCAGGGGGTTGGGTTGGGGTGGTGTGGCAGGTGGCCACCCCTCGCTGTGAAGAGATCACGACGGGAGGTTTCTGTCGTGCTCGGCCCCCTGGCCCCTGGGAGCCCTCGACGGGCCACGAGGGCCGGCGAAAAGGTCGCCGCGGGAGGCGAAGGCCCAGCCCCGGGGGAGAAGGGTCCCGCTCTCCTGGGGGCCCGCGTGCGTCGGGGGCGGAAAAGAGGGGGGTGATGACTAGGGGTGGGTGGGTATCATGGCGGGGGCCATGATATTTCCCCAGATTTCATGGCGCCTCTTCCTGTTTCATTGCGTCCGTGGCCCCCCCGCTGGGCCGCGCACATGCCGCCGGTCATGATTTGCACCCCCCTCTTTTGGACACCCCCCTCTTGGCCGCTCCCGAGTGCGGCGTTGCAGGTCTGGGTTCGGTGTGCTCGGACGTAGTCGCCAGGATGGAGGCTCGAAAGTCTCTGGGGTCCGCGTGCGGCGCTGCAGGTTTGGGTGGTCTTTCCATCCTCGGGGCGCCTTCCGGCGGCTGCGCCTCGCCGAGAGCGTTCCGAGGGTTCCTGGATCGTCCCGAGCGGCCGACGGAGAGCCGAGCGGCTTCGCCATGGGGGGGGGCCTATCGGCGATCTATCGGCGATGCGTCGCCGATTCCAGCTCGATCCTGCACCCCGTGATCCCCCCTCCCAGACCTCCTGGCGTCGTGAAAAAATCACGACGGGAGGTTTTTCCTTATTTTCTGCCTCCGGGGGCCCTCGCCGGGCCTCGGGGCCGTCAAAAAACGACTCAGGACGAAAAACCGGTCCCGGGGAAAGGGTCCAGACCTCTGGGGGTCGACGTCGTGAAAAAATCACGACGTCGGGGGTCTGGGCTCCTTATCCACACCCCCGACGTCCTGATTTGTGCACTTCGCAGACCTCCAAAGGTCTCGACCCAGTTCCTGAGACCGGTCTTCCATGCCGAGTCGTTTCTTTACTGCCCCAGGTCCCCGGGAGACTGCTAAATACCGTTTTCTGATGTTGTGTTTTCTCTTCCCACGGCGGGGGCGTTGGTTCAGGCAAGTGCCCGGGAGGCTGCAGACCTTGGAGGATTCCTTGCCGAAGGAGGGCGGCGATGATGCCCGTGGCCCATCCAGGATCGGCGCCCCATCGGCTGCCAGACCCCGTGCTCCTTTCCCTTAAGGGTTCCCGCTCTGATGCCCTCACCCCGCAGGTGCGCACGGAGAACGGCGCCCTGGGAGGTTTTTGTTGGGCCCCTTCGCGGCCTCCGCTCGGCCTCTCCATCTATCCGCCGGTGCGGCGGCCGCGTGCCCGCTGTGTAACGCGGTGGGCCCGCTCCGAGGCGCCGGTGCGGGAGTTGCCGGCCGCGCCCGTGCGGCCTCCCAGGGCCCAGCGAGGACCCCCTGGGGGCCGCAATCGTCCCAGGGCCTCCCGCCGCCGTTTTCATGCTGCGCTTTCCCCCCAGCAGGTACGCACGGAGAACGAGGCCCTCTACGCGCAGGCGATCTCCTCCCGGAGCCCGAAGACCGCGGTATCCGAGCCGCTCCCGCAGGCTCAGATGCAGGAGGAGGAGGAGGAGGAGGAGGAGGAGGAGGAGGAGGACGAGGACGAGGAGGAGGAGGAGGAGCAACCATCCCGCCGCATCTAGACCGACAGAGCCGATGAGATGTTCAGATGGCGCATGCGTGAGCACACAGCGTACATATAGTTTTGCGATCTGCAGCGAAGAATGGAGTGGTACACGCTCAAAAAATTGCTTGTCTGCCGGAACCTGAAAGGAACAATCTTCAACACAGCTTTCCTCAATGGCATGGCTTCAAATTCTTTTGAATACCTCGAGTGTGGCAACGTGGTTTCAGTAGGCGTCAGCCTGAGTGGAGGATTTTGCCGCTGCACTGCAGTGCCCCGATTCTTCGCGGTCCTCCTGGCAGCCAGCCAGGCAGCCGTCGAGCACGGCACTTGAAACAGACGAGCACCACACAGGACTGGTCATACATGCGGTGCTGCCCGCACCGAGATGCGGGCCAACCGTCAGGGCCTTGCCCCCGTGGCCAGGACCAGGAGACTCGCCCGACGGGCGTGGAATAAGAGCAGCGCCAACGGTCCAGGGCCATGCCCCCGTGGCGTGCTCAATGCGCGAACAGGGAACGCAAGGAGACCGTGCTCCGCGCTCCCTGTTCGGGGTAGGGGGCGCCGGAGCCGTGCTCCGACGCCCAACCTACCCACCACCTACTCCATAGGTGGCCGCTGGCGACGAGAGCAATTTTCTCTCCCCTTGGCCCCTACGGGCAAACAGGGGTGACGAACGGGCTGCTACCCGCCTGTTTTCCTGGGAAGGGGACCCAGTGGCACAGGTGCCCAGCCTGAGTGGAGGAGGAGGAGCAGGAGGAGCAGGAGGAGGATGGATTGCACCCTGGCGTGACCCTAGCGGAGGGCGCTGCCAAGTTCACGGCCATGCATCACTGATCGTTCTTTTCTATCTGGACATTCGCAGGCGCACCCCATCACCAGCTGGCGGCGCGCATTTGGCGCGTCGCACGCCTTCTCGTCGGTTTCCCAATATTGCGTGGTTTGCTGAGCGTGCCGACCGCCAGCGCTATAGTCTACGGAGCGTGTCGGCCGTAGAATCTCGCAGCGGCAGTTTCAAGCATGAGTTTCATGATGCGGTGGAGGCTGATGGGGAAATTGTAAGATAGAGGAGGAGGACAAGGAGGAGAAGGAGAAGGAGGAGGAGGAGGAAGAGGAGGAAGAGGAGGAAGAGGAGGAGGAGGGGAGGAGGAATCGCAATCAGTGCGCGTGCTTGTCTACAGAGCCTACCGGCGGAATTTGTGACCGCATGGTGCGCCGGCAGGGCCTGGGCACGCCAGAATGTATGGTAAAACGTGGTCCACACTCGGAACATGGGGCATGCAAGCATGCAAGGTATCTATTTGGGAGGCTGTTTTCTGCAGTCCCGTTTCCTGCTGAAGACATTGGTTTTTGATGAGTGCGCCGCATGTGCGCCTCTTCTGAACACAGCCTGGCCGTCACAGAATTGTTGCTGTCTGCGACGTCATGATTATCGGGAGGGGGAGGAGGAAGATGAAGGGGAGGAAAGAGGAGGTGGTTGTGAGAAGTTGATGATCCAGATTCACAGTGCCATCCCTTGACTGCCACGTAGCTATCTGCCTGGCTCTGTTTGCGAGTTCGCATTGTTAGGACCTTTTTCAAGCCCAATGAAGAGGAGGAGATGGGGGAGGATAGGAGGAGTATGAGTGGATGGTGATGACATAGGAGGAATGCGTGAGGGCATCTTTAAATTGGCCCTGCACCGACTCTCGTGCGGAATGGTCCGGTCATGGTGCGGTGGGTGGATCCGCCCAAGTTTATCAGGAAAGCTCTAGTTGCATTTTAGATGCGGTCTTTCGACGCACGGTGCTACCTGCTTTTGCCCCACTAAAATTGGCAGGTCTATGTCAAGGTCAATGGCGAGGAGGAGGTGGAGAAGGTCTGATTTTAATTGAGGAGCGGAGTCTGATACGTGTGGAGGTATATTGATTATCGAGTTTGCCTGACACTGGGCGAGGGCAGTAGTCACGGGCATGTGTACATCGGCCCATCCTTGAGTGTTGCCAGGGCATCGATACATTGGCCCAGCTACTCTCGATGCACGTTTGGGGCACTTTGCCATGGGCCCTGCACTGTAGCACGCCTCCGGAAGCGCCACCACCTTGAAGTTTAAGGCACCTTGACAGGGGTGAACCTTGAGGAGGGGCAGGAGGAGGAGGAGGAGGAGGAGAAGGAGGAAGGAGGAGGAGAAAGAGGAGGAGGAGGAGGAGGAGAAGGAGGAGGAGGAGGAGGAGGAGGAACAGGAGGTGGAGGACAAGGACGAGGACGAGGGAGGAGGAGGAGGAGGAGGAGGAGGAGGAGGAGGAGGAGAAGGAGGAGGGAGGAGGGGGATGCACTTGGGAGGATGGGGACTACCTTGCCGACGCCTGCTGATCTAACGCTCTATACCCTCGCAGGGCTCTCCTCTTGGCGGTTTCTCTGCGCACGTCGGCCACCGCTTACGTAGGCAGCACTCTGGCAGTTTCTGCGTTCGTCCTGCCATCAGAACTCTACAACCTAGTTGCGTGAGTCCGCCCAACGCAAGAAAAGGAACAACCATGAGCGAGGAGAAGGAGGAGGAGGGGAGGAGGAGGAGGAGGAGGAGGAGGAGGAGGAGGAGGAGAAGGAGGAGGAGGAGGAGGAGGAGGAGAAGGAGGAGGAGGAGGAGGAGCGACGAGGCGAGACGAGGAGCGCGCACCTAGGAGCGAGGAAGAGGAGGAGGAGGAGGAGGAGGAGGAGGAGGAGGAGGAGGAGGAGGAGGAGGAGGACGACTCTGAGGAGGAGGAGCGAGCCAGGCTGCCGCGGGTGGCTGCGTGCGGCGCCTCTCCAGCTCGGGCTGCCTCCTCGCCTCCCGCCGCGCCCTCGTCGCGGCCTCGGGCATGCCGCCGGGGCCCGCCCTGCCCGCAGCGGCGTCCCTCGCCGCGCGGCCGTGGCCCGGCCTCGTCGGGGCCCCCGCCGCGGGCCCGCGGTGCCTGTCGCAGGCTGTCCTCCTCCTCCTCCTCCTCCTCCTCTCCTCCTCCTTCTCCGCCTCCGCTCCTCCCTCCTCCTCCTCTATCTCCTCCCTCTATCTCCTCCTCTTCCTCATCCTCCTGCTCCTCTTTCTCCTCCTCCCCTCCTCGTCGTCGTCGTCCTTCTCCTCCTCCCAGACCCCCTCCTCCTCCTCTTCCCTCCCTGTCTCTTTCCCTCCCTTCCCTTCCTTCCCTCCCAGCCCTGCCCGTCGGGGCCCATCCCTCGAACCACCCCAGCCCAGCCAGTACGCTCCAAACTTGTCTTCCATTCCCAGGGGGGGGACAGGTGGGCGTCGGGGAACCTTCAGAACAGCATCGCAGCTGGGGCCCCTCCCCGCCCAAGCCAAAGTCTGGGGCATTTGGGTTGGGTTGGGGTGGTCTGGGAGGTAGTCAGGGCAGGGTCGCAGCTCCTGGGAGGTGCATGTGCTGCATCGGCGCCGGCGCCGCCGTCTGCGGCGGCGCAGATGGGGCATCGCCCCGAGCGACCGCCACCGCGCCCGCCGTCGAACGTCGACTGCGGCGGCGGCGGTGTCGAACGTTGTCGTCGCCGATGCCACATCGGCGCCGGGATCTCCCTGATAATCTTGATTTCCGCTGAGTCCTGGTTCCCTCGGCTCACTGCCGGCCTGATTTGGGACTTGTTGTGGGCCAACTTGGCGTTGGAGCCCAATATCGGTATCCCGCAGAGGCTGTGTGTGTGCCCTGGTGTGTGTGTGTGTGGTTGTCAGGCCCCTGTCAGCCTCTCCTCCTTCTGCGCCTCTCTCTCTCTGTTCTCCCTTGTCCGCCGCCATATCGGCTCACAAGGGCCCTTGAGCTATCACGGCGCCTATGTGTGCATCGTGTCTCTCTGTATCCATACAGTCTTTCGCGTGCAATCCACAGTTTGTGTGTATGTGTTTGTGCGTGTGTGTGTGCGTGTGTGTGTGTGAGAGAGACAGAAAAAGAGTTCGATCGGTTTTTGCACCACCTCGCCCAAAACAGAGGCCCCCAAGCCGCCGGCAGCTCCTGATAGTTGCCGATGGGTGGGGCATGCGGGGGGCATCTGTGTTCGGCAGCTCCATGCACCGGGGGATCGAACTCATGCCCCCCTCTGGATCACCACCCCTCTTGCGGATCCCGACAATCCCAGACCCCCGACGTCGTGATTATTTTCACAACTTCGACCCCCAGAGGTCTGGACCCCTTCCCCTGGACCAGTTTTCCATGCTGGGTCGATTGTTGCTGGTTCCGAGGCTGGGGGAGGGTTCCCGGAGGCCGAAAATTATGAAAAACCGCCCGTCGTGATTTTTTCTTTCATTGCTCGAGGTGGTTTGGGATAATCGGGCTCCGTGTCATCGCTTCCATCCGTTCCCGCGACGACGGACTTCTCTTCCACCTCCTCCTCCTCCTCGTCCTCGTCCTCCTTCTCCTCCTCCTTCTCCTCGTCGTCCTTCTCCTTTTCCTCCTCCTCCTCCTCCTCCTCCTGGAATCTGCCTCTCGACGCAGGGTGCCCCGCAGCCCCGGGCAGCCGGAGCGCCCGCGGCCTACTGCGGCCCCGCGGCGCCGCCCGCCGCTGAGGCGCACGGCACCGCACCCGCGCCGCGGGCGGTGGTGGCCAGGCGCCGCCGACCGTGCCGCTGCGCGCCGCACCTGCCGAGCGTCGCCGCCTTGGGCCGCCCTCGCCCTCGCCGTTCGTCGTCATCTCATCCCCGTCGTGCGTCGTCGCCGCCCCCCTCCCCGTCCGCGGCCTCGAGGAGCGTCAAGGCGTCGAGGATCGAGGATCGAGGGTCGAGGAGCGTCAAGGCGTCGGGGATCAAGGAGTTCGTCGTCGCCGCCCCCCTCCCCGTCCGAGGGGGGAGAGGGGGAGGGTCGAGGAGCGTCGAGGCGTCGAGGAGCGAGGATCCAGGGCCTCCGCGGCCTGGGCGGCGGCCGCCTCCGCGGGCCGCGGCGGAGAGCAGCCGGCGGAGGCATCGCCTCGGCTCGTGCTCCGCGCGCACCCCGCGGCGCCGCTCGGCGCCGCTGCCTCGCCGGGGGGCGCCGTGCTGCACGCCTACTCGCCGCGGGCGCGGTCTTCGCATCCAACGCCCTCGCGCTGTGAACCAAAGACACGGCGGGAGGTGTTTCGCTACTTTCGTCCCTATAGGGAGGCCCTCCCAGGCCCCCGGGGACGGTCGAGCAAGCAATCGGGATGGATCGAATCTGGTCCCGGGGAGGGGGTCCAGACCTCTGGGGGTCGTCAGGGGCCACGCCAGGAGGCCTCCCCTCGAGATGTTCGGGCGTTCGCGTCGGTTCCCGCTGGCTTTCCGGCCTCGGGGTGCGTTCGAGGATGAATCAGCCCCGAATCGCCCACGCGTCGCCAGCAGGGGCCCGACAGCCATGCGGCGTGTGGCTATCGGAGCCCTGTCGGCGACGTGTCGTCGACTCCAGGTCAATGTTCCCCCCTCTGGAATCGTACCCCGATAGCGCTGCCCCCTAGGTCGCAGTCGCCGCAGCCAGGGGCGGCGAGGCAGCGGCTGGCCACCGTGCCCGTGGCCTCCATCCCGGCGGCGCGCTCGAGGGGGTGTGCGGGGGCGAGGTGGGTGTCCCCCTTGGTCGGGTGTTGCTAGGATGGCCCCTGGCCCAGGGTGCCCACGGGGTCCAGGGGCCACAGGCGCTCCGAAACGGCCTCGGAGAAGGCAGGTTCCCTCCCACGCCCAGATGATATCCGACGGCGGTGATTTTTTTGGCCATTTTGTAGACTCCGCGGCCCCAGGGGGCCCGGCCCTGTCCCGCGCCCCCCAGACGCCGAAATGGAAGAGCCACGCCGCGCTCGCGCAGAAACGCCGTCCGAGATCTGTGGGCGGTCCGATCATCGTGGCCAGCTCCTCCAAGGCGCGCGCCCAGGCGTGGCCAAGACGGGGGCCCCCGAGGGCCCCCGAAGCCCACTCGGATGCGCTGGCCCGAAGGCGCTTCTCAAGGCACCCACGGCCGAAGTGGCCACCCTGCGGCGGCCAGCCCAGGGAGGAAGCGAGAGGGGGCAGGCCTTCTCAGAAGAGGGCTCGGCAGTCCCCAGGCCTTCGGAACAGTGTTCTAGGCTTCCTCCGAAGACACACGAAGGCGTCTCAGAAGGCTGGAGGGCGTCTGAGAAGCCCCGCCGCCTTCGGAGAAGGCCTGCTCCACCTCCCTTCCCCCCCGGGCTCGCTGCCGCCGGGCCCATGCCTTCCCGGCGCCTGGAAAATCAGCTACGTGAGCTGATGCTCTGCCTCATACCTCGTGCTATCCTACAGCCCCCTCGTCCCCCCCGACAGAGAGGTGAAGTGCGCAGAGAAATCTTAGACCTTCAATGCGGGGTCTCTGGAAGTCCAGACCCTTATTTCTTCGTGTTCGGCACACGAGCCCAGGCATGCGACGTCCTGATTTCTTCAATGCGGGGTCCCTGGAAGTCCCGACCCTCTCACCGGGACCGGTTTTCCATCCCGTGCCGTTTTCGGACGCCCCCCGAGGCCCGAGGAGGGCCCCCCCGAGGCCGAAAATTGCCAAAGCCCTCCCGTCCTGAAGTTTTTACGACGCGATGCTGTCTGGGACTCAGTGGGCCCTGGAAACGACATGGCCGTGTTTTTACCTGTTCCGTTTTGCTGTTTTTGTTGCCGGTTCCGACGCCGTTTTTAGCTTCTGGTTCCGTCGCCGTTCTTTTACGGGCTCCCGCTCCGGTTCCAATCCTGCCGCCGTTTTTGTTGCCGTTTCCGGTCGCCGCTTTTTTGCCGTTTCCATTTTCAAGGGACATTTTTTTTCGGAAGCGGAGACAAAACGGCCCTGCCGTTTCCGGGGCCCATTAAGGGTCTGGGATTGGAGCAGCCGCATGTCTGGGACCGCATCCCAGACATCCCGCACCTCATCTTGATCGGGAGCGGCCAAGAGGGGGGTGTCCAAGAGGGGGGGTTGTGCAAATCATGACCAGCAGCATGTGCGCGGCCCAGTGGGGGGGGCAGGGACGTAATGAAATAAGAAGAGGCGCCATGAGATCTGGGGAAATATCATGGCCCACGCCATGACATCCCCCCCCTAGTCATCACCCCCCTCTTTCCCCCCCCCACTTGAGGGCATCGGGGCGGGGGATCTGCATCGCGAACTTTTTTTCGGAAGCGGAGAAGAAACGGCCCTGCCGTTTCCGGGGCCCACTGAGCCCCCACCACTCGAGCAGCTCCCCGGGACCAGCTCCGCATCCCCGGCCGCGGTCCCACGGCCCCGAGGCCCCCGCTGCGGGCCCCGAGGGCCCGAGCGTGCGCGATGCAGATCCCCCGCCCCGAGGCCCTCAAGTGGGGGGGGGGGGGAAGAGGGGGGTGATGACTAAGGGGGGGGGATATCATAGCGTGGGCCTTAGTGGGCCCTGGAAACGACAGGGCCGTTTTTTTACCGGTTCCCTTTTGCAGTCTTTTGACTGGTTCCGACGCCGTTGTTTTGCCGGTTCCGTCGCCGTTGTTTTACCAGTTCCGGCTCCGGTTCCAATCCTGGAGCCGTTTTTGGGCCGTTTCCGGTCGCCGTTTTTCTGCCGTTTCCGTTTCCCACAAAGCTCAAGTCGGGGGGGGGAAAGAGGGGGGTGGTGACTAGGGGGGTGGATGTCATGGCGTGGGCCATGAGATTTCCTCAGGTCTCATGGCGCCTCTTCTTATTGCATTGCGTCCCTGGCCCCCGCGCTGGGCCGCGCACATGCTGCCGGTCATGATTTGCACCCCCCCTCTTGGACCCCCCCCTCTTGGCCGCTCCCGATCAAGATGAGGTGCGGGATGTCTGGGATGCGGTCCCAGACATGCGGCTGCTCCAATCCCAGACCCTTAGTGGGCCCCGGAAACGGCAGGGCCGTTTTTTCACCGCTTCCGAAAAAGTGTCCCTTGAAAGTGGAAACGGCAAAAAAACGGCGACCGGAAACGGCAACAAGAACGGCTTCAGGATTGGAACCGGAGCGGGAACCCGTAAAAGAACGGCGACGGAACCGGTAAAATAACGGCGTCGGAACC